CAGGCCGCAGGGGTCAGGTGTGTCGTGTTACCGCCGCGCAGCCAGTGCGCGCCTGTGTGCGTTTCATCAGCAGATGTCAAGGAAAACACACCGGGACGCAGACTTCCGTTTTCTCTTCTTTTAATAACACATTCATTTCTATGCTGTTTGTTTACAAGGAGTTAAAAAGTGTTGATAAACTAAAACAAAGGGGTATAAGTCCAGAGATGGCATGAGAGGAGGGAGGAAAACACACCACTGCGTTCTCACCTCCTCACTATCAATCTTTCAGTGGATCTTTTTAAATTAAATTTTCAGGTAAGAACATCATGCTGCTTTGAAAACAATCTGCAGAATATTAGTCTCGCAGTTCACAGAGAAAGAATCAAATGCATCCAAACACAAGAATTACAATCTCATGTCACAATGTTAAAAGCAATTCGAAAACCATCAAAACAAGGATCTGAGGTTAAACTTAAAAAGAGTCTAATGAGGAACTGAGTAATTTAAAAAAAAGGAAATGAAACAGTTCTCTTTAAAAAGGTTTTCTAATTTTATTCTCTTTTTAAAAATCTTTGAAAACAATTACTATCAATGAAGAAAAAATCATCTTTGGAAGAAGTATTTTTTAGACTATAAACTACAGTATATGGAAATACCACTACCCAGTTTTTATTAGTTGTTTTTGTAAATTTTATTTTTTTTATTTTTCGTTTTTGTGGTTTTTTTTTGCTATTTATCCTAAGAGGTAGATCAACAACAACAACAAAAAAAAAATCCCATGGTTACGGATATCATGCCCCTTGATTTGAGGAGCAGGGACAGAGCAAACAGGATGGGGGGGTGGGGGGTGGGGGGGCAGGATTTAGGAGGCAGGGATGCTGAAAACGCCAGCGAATCGCTGTGGGGCAAGAGACTACTGGTCTGAAGACGGTCTGCTGCCCGTCTTTCACATGCAATCCTGTATTCCAATACCAAATATGACTCTGCATGGGAGGGATACAGGAATCTGACTTCCTGAGGTCCTTACTTCGTGGGCTTATACAGTAACAGATATATCATATGTATTTTTGGACGTGTTCTAAAACATGCAGTTTGCACGTCAGCAATTCAACGGTTTTTCTTTACTGCAGTTTTACTGTCTCTATGAACGACACATTACTAATGTATTGTAGCTGAACACGATGTTGAGGCATCAAGCTACTGTTCAGTTTCGAATAGCCAGAGCTCTGCCTCAACCCATTTGATCTGCTCAACACAGGAGGACTATGAACTGCAAGATGCATATTTTAATCAAAAGCCCAACTACAGTTTTTGCAAGTCAATGTCGCAGTTCATTTCGTGAGATCGACTTGCCCGTCCTGTGTTCCCTCCTCAGCTTCGCCCCTCCCCCACAGCGCCTCCTACAGGGCCGACTCCTCCCCAGGACACCAAGATCCCTCCCCCCCACACTGCCTCCATTCCAAACCCATCAGTCCTTACAGCCCCCCCGGCCCACCTCCCCCTGCTTCTTACAGTCCCCACTCCCGAGCCGGAGAGGTAACAACTTAAAAATTAAAAAAAATAAATTAAAAAAGGATGTACTGTAACACGTAACAGCAAGGAAGTTCCTGCTCCGTGTTCTGCCCTGCTGGAAAGAATCTTATGGCTAAGAGATGAGGTAGCGTTCCTAGTTATGTGTTCTGTAGCACCTATCCAATGTCAGTCGTCTGAGAGGGTGAAATGCTGTGCCCAGCTTAGATTCTGCGTTTGTGTAACTCTGTGTTCTTCACTAGTGTCTTCACCCAGCAGTGAGCACGTTACCTACACTGCCGAGAGCCACTGTTGTTCTGTCAAAACCTCCCCAAGTTCTCTCTGGGACCAACTCACCCGGAGTCCCACAGCTCCCCCCCGAGAGGCACCCAACCAGGAGCTAGGCTTCAAACAAGACACTCGCCCTCTGGCCTGCGTCCTTGTTAAAGGAGCAACTTCCTCCCCCGCAAAACCTCTGCACCCCCCTTCTTGAGAGCACGGGGTTGCCGGTTCGAATCCCTGTTTGGGGGGAGTGGGGCTGGTGTTGCCACGAGCAGTGGGGTGACTGGTTCACAGCCCGTGTGCCTGCCTGCCGCGTCACGTCCAGTGGCGGTTTTTAATCGAGCGGGGGGCTGTCCGTTCGAACCCTAAGCGAAGTTCGCCCCCCCCCCCCATCACTGCGACACGAAGATTAGAAAGCGCGGAGCAAGCGCTCCCAACCCCGACCGCTCTCGATTTCTGCAGCGTGGAAACAAACAAATGTAGCTAACAGGTGGAAAACCCCTCTTTTCCCAAAAACCCCACTAAAAGCAAAGAGGGAACTTTTCCTCTCGGTGGTCGGTGGAGCTGTGAACTTAGTAAGAGCCGAGGAAACGGCAGGTCGATCGCAGAGAACTGTACCACCTGCTGCAGTACCAGTTCCAGATCACGCTGCTCTGAAATAATAATCGCCAACAACGCAATGAAAGAAAAGGCCCATGACCATTCGGACTGGATCTGGGAATCTCGACAGTAACAAAGTGCCAGGGGCTTTTCAGTTGGCTGATGGTTCATTTTTGTTAGCTTTCACTATGTCCTGTACGGAACTTTTTTTTCAAATCATTTTAACATCCCTTCAAAGTGAATTCTATAAAAAGGTATGCAAATGTACGTGACTCCTCAAGTAAACCAGAGGATTGAATATTCTCTATTCGTCTAGTAAAGGTTATCTTTTATCTGCACATTGTTTGGCACTTTTAAACAATTATGGATTGTTAGTAAGTCATTTGTTAAGCAGTTACGGAGATCTGTGCATCTTAAAATATCCAACCTGTCCAAACAAAAGTCATTTAAAATAATAATAATGATGATAATAATAGAAGTGATCAGAGAGAGACCAGAGATGGGATTATTAATAGACCCCAGCTGGTGTTCCAACTCCTGAAATAACTGACCCAGAACGAAACCAAAAAAACAAACAAAACCGTGTATATATACACAAATCCTCTATCTTGCCCACTGCGTTCCAGAAAGAAGGTTTTAGAAATCCAGAAGTCAGGCAGTAAACGCTCCTTGTGTGACTAAGAGGGTGTACTCGTGCATCAGTCTGTCTATGTTCCCTGCGAGAAGCTCTCCCTGCTGGGAAAATCCGACCCAAAGCACGGTTTTCCAGGACAATCCGTCACTCTCCTGAAGCTCTCGGGGATGAAGCGATTGGACTTTTTTATACTGAGGTTTCTTTTGCAGCACATCTCTGTGCAACTAACAGATCGGCAGTACAGACAAAACCACAGAGAAATAAGGGAACTCCCCCACCAGCTACAGATCAGTCCGAAGTCACCAGCAGTGTAAGCTCTCTCGCTGTCCTGTTGTTCCTGGGACACACAAGGGACCCCCCAGCACCCTCCCCCCCTTCAGAACCCACGTCTGGGCCATCTATTTGAGTTCT